CACATCTGCACTAGAGACTCTACTGAACTCTCTCTCTCTCTCACACACACACACACACACACACACACAAATACATACACACTCACTAGACAGATCGCACACAAGGAAAACAAATACACACAGACACACTAACACTGTCTGCTCTCCTCATCTTCAGTCCTCATCAGTCAGTGTGTGTGTGTGTGTGTGTGTGTCAGTGTGTGTGTGTGTGTGTGTGTCTTATTTCCTGTACTTTTATCTAAAAGCCTGAATCAGAGCAGGTTGTGTCGGTGTGGAAACACTAATAAAAGGACAGCAGTGATATCTAGATGTACTTTGACTCCGCCAACACAACAAACATTATTAGTGTGTTCCTCATTATTTATATTGTGTTTTCAATAAACACCTGTTCCCCTTTTGGTTCTCGCAACACACTTTTTTTTACAACTTGTATCAGTAAAGCATGTCCCACTGTGCAATGCTGCCGTTTATCTTCACAACACTTGAAGAGGGTTAGGGACCGAGTGCTGAAGGGTTTCAGGTGTCATTTCGTCCCATTCTTCTTGCAAACTAGTCTTCATTGTCAGATTTTCCTCTTCTAAATGCTCCACACATTCTCTATTGGAGACAGGTCAGGGCTGCAGGCAGGCCAGTGCAGTGTCGGTCTCCTCTTCCTCTGCAGCAGGACTCTGTAATGTGAGCTGAATGTGGTTCTGCATTGTCTTGTTGGACTCTGCATGGGCGTCTCTGGAGCAGAAGGCAGCATATTGAGCTCCAGAATCTCTCTGTGCTGTTCAGCATTACTGGAGCATCACAGAAGAGCAGGTCACCCAGGTTAACCCCAGACCATGACAGACTCTGGCTTCTGGACGTGTTTGGTGTCAGTCTGGATGATCCTCTTCTTCTTTGGTCTGGAGCACACGGCGTCCATTTCTCCCTGAAACACCTGAAACACTGCTTCATCTGAGCACAGGACACGTCTCCACTGTGTGATGCTCCATCCCAGATGCTTCTGGACACTGTTAACATAGGGCTTCCTCTTGGCACAGTGCAGTGTTGGCTGGTGTTTGTGGATGTGACTCTGTATTGTGCTGCTTGTCAAAGGTTTACCGCAGTAGTGCTGATCTGCTTATAGATGAATGAGGACTCTTGATGCAGCGCCCCCTGAAGGGTCGGAGGTCACGGTTGTTCAACTCAGGCTTGCGCTCTTGTCCTTTACGCACTGAAACTCCTTCCGTCTTTAATGCTGTTCTGCACTGTTGAAGGTCAAATGTCCACATGTCTTCCTATCTTACTCTGAGGAACATTGTGTTTAAACATTTCACTCATTTTCTCTCGTAATTGTTGGCAAACTGGCGATCCTCGACCCATCTCTGCTCCTAAAGCACTAGAGCTTTACTGATGAGCAGATCATCATCACCATCACCTGTGTCACATCACATCATTATCCAGCAGATCACCTGATCACTGCCCTGCACTGCAGCTCTGAATGACAGGAGAGGATGGAGATTTACTGATAAAATGGAACTGACCACACACAACAGCAAACATTGTGTTAATTACTAATATTGTCTGCAGAAGTCAAAGCACATCTGGAAATCACTACTTCCATTTTATTTGTGTTGTCCATACTGTCACCACTCTTTCTGATTTGGGGTTGTAAGAATGTAGATATTTGCACTAGAAACAAGACAAAAACATTTTGTGCAGTGTGTGTGTGTGTGTGTCTGTGTGTGTGTGTGTGTGTGTGTCTGACCTCCTGAATGAGAGCGAGACACACGTCATGAATGCGGCTCATCAGCACATCAGGATGATACTGAGCCAGACTGCGCAGCATGTTCATGCCCTCGATCTTCTTCTCCCTGTGTGAACAGTGTGTGTGTTAGAGGCAGAAGCGCAGGATAAACACACTTTCTTCACAGGTGTGTGTGTGTGTTCAGACTCACCAGTCGTCTGCAGCGGTCAGTCTGAAGCTTTGCGTCAGCGCCAGCTCCGGTTTAGAGAACGGCCGCAGCTCCAGCTGATCCTGAGACTCCTTCTTAGGACTGCCAGAAACCAGCTCATCTGAGGAAACACAAAACATCACAGATTAAAGCTTTTAGAGATCGACTCTGCGCCCTTATATGAGCTGTAAACAGGGCGGGAGCAAGCTGAACGGCCGCTCTAGGCAGAGGACGATCATGCCGCCCTCAACCCCAATATGTGAAAACGAAAGTGACCGGTTATGAAAATGAAGCGAGGTGTCGCGGACCTCTTTTCCAGCGTACTATGCGCAGATATAACTGAGGACGCGTGAGTGCTGAGGGAAGGAGAGAGGTGTCGCGGACACTGCGCTCTCTAATCTGCTGCCCTATGCGCGAATATATCTGAGGACGCGCATGGTGAGGGAGGTGTCGCGGACATAACCGAGGACGCGGGTGGTCCTCTCTATACTGCCGCCCAAGGCGGCCGCCTAGGTCGCCTCTATGGACGCGCCGGCCCTGGATGTAAATGCATCTCTGCTGTGTCTAGAGTGTGTGTGTGTTTGAGCTGAGAATGTCACACAGATGATGTTCTCCAGCTCTCTGAAACTGCCCCTTTCAGGCTTTGGTCCTGATTGTGGTGTTTTGGTGACTGTCACTTTAAATGCAAATGAGATTGTGCTCTTTTCAGAAGAGGGCAGAGCTACAGACTAGTCCATTACTATAGCGTAGTGTGTGTTTGCTTTAGTCTGCTGCACATGTATTGTGTGTGTGTGTGTGTGTGTTCTGCTCTCTCACCGCAGCTGTGTGTGGCAGCCGGTCTGCTTCTGTTCAGACTAGATGCTCGTCTGAGTCGCGGCACTGTGGTTCTATTGGGCGGTCCAGTCGGAGGGGCGGGCTGATGGGCGGGGCTGATGCTTTTGATTGGTCCGTTAGGGCTGGAGGGAGATTCATCTGAGGGAGACTCACAGCCGTTCATGTTGACGTCTAGAACACACACATACACACACAGTCAACACAAATATACAGACAGACAGACAGACAGACACACACACACACACACACGCACGCACGCACACACACATACGCACAGTCAACACAAATATACAGACAGACAGACAGACAGACACACACACACACAGTCAACACACAAATATACAGACACAAACACACAAACACACACGCACACGCACACACACACACACACAGACAGTCAACATACAAATATACAGACACAAACACACACACACACACATACACAAATATACTGACACAAACACACACACACACACACACACAGTCAACATACAAATATACTGACACACACACACATACACACACACATACTGTCAGCAGACACACACAAACATACAGACACACACACACACACACACACACACACACACATACAAACACACGCACACACATCAGTGTAGTTCACTTCCACCTTTCACATCATCGTCTTCATCTTCATCATGTGTATCGTCGCGTTTAATTGGCTCCTGCTGCTCCACACGCTGCTGACGCATCTTCTCACTCGCAAACTTACACAGTTTCACCTTCTCCTGCAAAACACACACACACACACACACACACACACACACAATATCAGCATCTGTAGAAGAGGCAGGATCTGTTGTGTCCTTCTTTCATCTGAGAAATATCGCTAAGTTATGAAGTATGCTATCCATCTCAGATGCAGAAAAGCTAGTCCATGCTTTTATGAGCTCTAGGCTGGATTACTGTAATGCTCTGTTCGCTGGCTGCCCAGCATCCTCTAGTGTTTAGTGTTTAATGTCCCTAATGTTAACCCGAACCCTAATCTTTATAGTAAAGCACACACACAAAGCAGCACATAACAATATGATGCATGAGTGTGCTCCACACAGGTGAGTGGGCTTGACAAACCACCTGTAGAACACACTCCTCCTGTTACAAAAACTCCTGTTTTATATGTTTGTTTCTATATTTGTTTCAATAACTCATATTTTCATAGCTTTTATTGTTCCAATAATCTGCCAATGAGGTTAGCAAAATGATCTACTTACATTTTGATATAAGACTACTTTCCTCACACCGTTGTCTGCTTGTTTTAAAGAAAATCTCATTTCATTTTGACTCATTATTTCTGAAATCAACACATGTTTTGCTGGTCTAGAAAATGCTTGTTGATGTAAGAATGTTCAGATTTTTGGACTGGAAGCAGACAGAATCGCTGAGTAAGAGTTGATATACTGAGTGTGTATGCGCACCTGCAGCTGCTGTGGTTCAGGACTGGCGTCCGAGTCTGTGTGTTTGCTGGAGAAAGCGTGTCCGTACACCCCTGACGGAGGATCTGCTCTGCTGACCGCGTCACTCTGCTCAGGGGAAGCAGAAACACTGGGCCGACTGGGCAGAACCGCAGAGCCAAACACTCCTGAGGAAAACAGAGGAAAGCAGAGGAATGAAGAACAGCAGCAGATCTGCAGCAGAACACACACACACACACACATGTGAACTAGATTAGATTCAACTATATTCTCATTACTTATGTACAGATACAAGGCAATGGAATGCTGTTTATGTCTAACCAGAAGTGCAAAAACAGCAAGTGCACTAATATGCTGCACTCCCGGTTAGACCTGAGCTGCATTCCATTGCACTTATGTTAGTCTGTTTTTAATATTCCCAAGGTTTCCATAATCCTGGACCAGGCCGTATCCTGAGCAGATGCTAAGGTGGTCATGGAGGAGTGGAGAGCATGAGACTGATTCCTGTAAGACCTTAGTGACAGACGAGTCTTTGCGTTGATTCACCCGCCGGTGACCTGCTCACTCCTGGAGCTTCTCCATGATGGAGGTTCAGCGTTCTCCAGTTAGGTCAGAGGAGAAATGGTGGTGCCCAACTGAGCCTGGTTTTGTACAAGTACATGTGTAAAGACAATACAGCTGAATCTAATCTAAACATGAACACACACCTCGTCCAATCACACCCTCTGACATCTCACGCAGACCACACGACTTGGACACGTGCTGCGGCGCTCCTGAAAACAACACACACAAACACATAAAACACACTGCTTTAGTCACTGATGTTTAATGCAACACTTCAGTTCTGCGCATCAGTCTATCATTTCTGTAGTGCTTTATATAATCGTAGAGTCGTGCAACAGTAGAGGAAACTTTAGAAGCACAGACAGATGCTCAAGACAGTTTTGGAGGAAATAATAGTAGAAGAAGAGCTATACTGAAACACTGTGACATAAAGACCCTCACACACGCATTTACTTCTGCAGACCAACATTACTGACACAAAGACCCTCACACACACATTTATATCTGCAGACCAACACTAATGACACAAAGACCCTCACACACACATATATAGCGGCAAACCAACATTACTGACACAAAGACCCTCGCAGACACATTTATACCTGCACACCAACATTAATGACACAAAGACCCTCACACACACATTTATACCTGCAGACCAACATTAATGACACAAAGACCCTCACACACACATTTATATCTGCAGACCAACATTAATGACGCAAAGACCCTCACACACACATTTATATCTGCAGACCAACACTACTGACACAAAGACCCTCACACACACATTTATACCTGCAGACCAACATTAATAACACAAAGACCCTCACACACACATTTATATCTGCAGACCAACATTACTGACACAAAGACCCTCACACACTCACACACACATTTATATCTATCCTGCAGACCAACATTAATGACACAAAGACCCTCACACACACATTTATATCTGCAGACCAACATTAATGACGCAAAGACCCTCACACACACATTTATATCTGCAGACCAACATTACTGACACAAAGACCCTCACACACACATTTATATCTGCAGACCAACATTAATGACACAAAGACCCTCACACACACATTTATACCTGCAGACCAACATTACTGACACAAAGACCCTCACACACACATTTATACCTGCAGACCAACATTAATAACACAAAGACCCTCACACACACATTTATACCTGCAGACACACATTACTGACACAAAGACCCTCACACACACATTTATACCTGCAGACACACATTACTGACACAAAGACCCTCACACACACATTTATATCTGCAGACAAACATTACTGACACAAAGACCCTCACACACACATTTATATCTGCAGACCAACATTACTGACACAAAGACCCTCACACACACATTTATATCTGCAGACCAACATTACTGACACAAAGACCCTCACACACACATTTATATCTGCAGACCAACATTACTGACACAAAGACCCTCACACACACATTTATATCTGCAGACCAACATTAATGACACAAAGACCCTCACACACACATTTATATCTGCAGACACACATTACTGACACAAAGACCCTCACACACACATTTATACCTGCAGACACACATTACTGACACAAAGACCCTCACACACACATTTATATCTGCAGACAAACATTACTGACACAAAGACCCTCACACACACATTTATATCTGCAGACCAACATTACTGACACAAAGACCCTCACACACACATTTATACCTGCAGACCAACATTACTGACACAAAGACCCTCACACACACACATTTATATCTGCAGACCAACATTACTGACACAAAGACCCTCACACACACATTTATACCTGCAGACCAACATTACTGACACAAAGACCCTCACACACACACATTTATATCTGCAGACCAACATTAATGACACAAAGACCCTCACACACACATTTATATCTGCAGACCAACATTACTGACACAAAGACCCTCACACACACATTTATATCTGCAGACCAACATTACTGACACAAAGATCCTCACACACACATTTATACCTGCAGACACACATTACTGACACAAAGACCCTCACACACACACATTTATATCTGCAGACCAACATTACTGACACAAAGACCCTCACACACACATTTATATCTGCAGACAAACATTACTGACACAAAGACCCTCACACACACATTTATATCTGCAGACCAACATTACTGACACAAAAACCCTCACACACACATTTATATCTGCAGACCAACATTAATGACACAAAGACCCTCACACACACACATTTATATCTGCAGACCAACATTGACACAAAGACCCTCACACACACATTTATACCTGCAGACCAACATTACTGACACAAAGACCCTCACACACACATTTATATCTGCAGACCAACACTACTGACACAAAGACCCTCACACACATTGATATCTGTCAGATCATGTGATCAGCAGAAACTACAGCACTGAAGCACAGACACTGATCAAGACTTTACCCACTACAGCTCTGAGCGTTTGTTTTAATGTTATATCCTAAAATGCAGAATAATATAGGTGTATAGTGAAGACTGGAGTAATGATGCTGAGGATGCAGCTTTATATAATGATAATAACAGCAGCTGTGGTGTGTTTCACCTTTAGCGGGTCTGAGTGCTCGGAGCGGCTCCCGTCCTGCAGCTCTGACCTGAGGAGACGAGCTGACCTCGCTGACCTTCTGCTCTTCTGCATCCAGAGCTCTGGAGAAACACACTCTCTGACCGACCACACTCACACTGCTCTCACACACACACTGATCCTGCTGTGACACGTCTGCAACACACACACACACACACACACACACACACACACACACACACACACACACACACACACACACACACACAGCTGTAATGATGTTTCTAGTGTACAGACTGCATATTCATTAAACCAGTGGGGCTCAAACTCGCTCCTGGAGCGCCGGTGTCCTGCAAAGGTTAGTTCAGACACCAATCAGACATACCCGGGCCTGCTAATCAAGCTCTTACTGGGCTTTCTAGAAACATCAGTGCAGGTGTGTTGAGGCAAGCTGGAGCTAAAA